ATGATCAGCTGAATAATTCTTATTAATAACATTCCTTCCACGACTGTTCAGGAGCCATTCTGTATTTTATTTTATTTTATTTTTTTTTATACATTTTTTTAATAGAGGCATGTTTTTTATTTATTTGTTTGTTTGTTTGTTTGTTTATACATGCACTGGGTACAGTCAGAAGAGCGGGAGGGTGAGAGAATTCACCAGAGCCAGAGTGGGGAGCAGAGCAGGCAGAAGGAGCGAAGTACACTGCTGAGGGGAGCAGCAGGCAGCAGGAGAGGTCTGCGCGCCATGTGGGACCCTCCTCAGGTGTCCGGGGAGCAGCCGGGGATCGAACCGGTGCCGCAGAGGCCGCGGGCAGCTCTGCAACCCAGCGCTCAACCGCTGCGCCACCGGGGAGGCCCACCATTCTGTATTTTATAATAGGAAGTTGGTTTCAATAAAACTGCACGAGAACCTTACATAACATTGTCCTTAGTTCTGTGCTTTGGCGCAGTAATAATGAGGGTTTAACATTCACTCAATAGATTCTGTAACGAGTACCAGGCTCTGTACTGGATACCAGGAATATGACTATTAACAAGATCTGATTACTGCCATTATGGAATTCAGAATCTAACGGGAGAGTTTAGCAAGTCAAGTGTACAGACAATTACAGAATTGTGTTGTGTGTGATTGGCACACACTTGGTGCTATGGCACGTAATTCAAACTTAGAATGTCTGTGTTGAAAGGGGATGACAAGTGTGGTTCTGTTGAGAAATTGTACTATAAAGTACCCATCCAGATTTACATATATATGTTACATTTCTAGTCTACTCATCCTTAAAGACCTAACTTAAGGTCAGTCTTCTCTGTGAGACGTCCTTGTTGGAGGTTCTACTCTTGGTACTCCCAGTGTACTTTGCTAGTAGTTTTGTTTTTATAGCACTTAATCACGTCTTGTATCAGCCCAATATATCAGTGCATTTTTGTTAGCCCTCAAATTCATTAAAATATCAAAATGGAGCAAAACCATCTTATTCATTTTTGCACCTCCAATGTCTTGTTTACTTCACATAGTATAAATGTATAGCAACTGCTTGTTGAATGGATTAATGATATAAATTGATTCATTCATTGAATTTTTTTATTAAGTACCTACTGTGTGCTCGATGTTCTGAGCATAATGGATTCACCAGTAAAAAGAAGTCTCTGCCTTCATCAGACTTACATACTAGTGGTAGAGAAGGTGGGAAATGTGCTGTGAGAAATACAGAAAGATGAAAGAATGATGGAGGCTTCTGTTTTAGATAGGTGATCACAAAAAGCCTCACTAAGGAAGTGACATCAAAATGGAGACATGAATTAAATAAAATATCAAGCTGTCTTGAGGAAGAGTATTCCAGGCTGCAAGAGATCAACCAAGTGAAAGGCTTGAAGGAGGAGTATGCTTAGAATGCTCAAGAAACATCAAAGGAGGCCAGCATGACTGGAACATGATGAGTGAGAAAGAATGTGATAGGAGATGGGATTGACAGATATGACTGGGCCAGATCACATTTGTCCATGATAAAGATTTTGGATTTTATTCTGAGTGTAATGGAAAGCCAAATGCAGGGTTTTGAGCAGGAGAGTACTGAAATATAATTTATCTTTTGAAAGGATCAATCTGCCTGTTGTGTGGTAGTCTAAAGGGGGCAAGAATGGAAATATTCAAAACTGTTAGATGCTATTTTAATAGTCCAAGTGAGAGAAGATTGCAGTTTGGACTAGAATGGAACAAATAATTTTAATGGAACTATTTGGGAATAGGAATTGGTGACATAAGCTGTTGAAGTTGTGAGCCTGATCCTCTAATTTAAGCAGTCAGTAAGGTAAATATACCATAGTTATTTAGTAGCATAAAAGATTTGAGGAATTAAAGGACTAGTTCTGTAGTCTCAGTTCTGTTTTAATAGTTGTGTGAACTTGGAGAAATCTTTGTGGACCTTAGTTTTTCAAACATAAAATGAGAGGTTTATTATTAAGAGTCTATGATCTTATAATTCTATGAAAATATAAGTATATACTGAATGCTTACTGTATATGGAATACTGTATAAAACGCTAGTAGATTCAGACATTATAAAACTCAGACATTATAAGATTCAGACATTATTCAGACTTATAAGACATCCATATCCGTAAAATACTTACATCTAAAAAACGTTTTACAAAACAGTTACAACATGAGATCATAAATTTAAATGCAAAAGTTTGCAGATTATAAATTCTACTGGAGTTTGGAAAAATGGATAATTAATAAAGATTGCATTAACCTTGAACATTACTAGATCTAGGACTGGATGGGATTTAGTTAAAATGAATGAAGGGTAGAGTATTCTGGGTAAGGAAAAAGCCATGAGCAAAGAGGAAGTCTTAACGTGCTTAGCATGACACAGATTTATGGCATCTGGAGATTCAGTTAAGGTCAGTCTAACTCTGTTGGAGGATATGTGAACAATGGGAAAATAGGATTGGCCAAATAGAATTAGATAACATGGAGGATATTAAAATCCAGGTAAAAAATGTTTAACTTTTAATGCAGGCAAGAACTGCAAAACCATTATATGTTGTTCAATAGAAGATATTGTAATACACATAGTATTCAATTAAGATTGGTATAGTATGTAAACTTTGAATAGTACATGAAGCTAACTTGTTCCTAGTAGCATGTATGTATATCTTTCTTCATTTAATCAGTAACACTATTTAAAGAAATTAAAGTTCAGAGAGTTTAAATAACTTGACTAAAGTTCTTTTGCCTAGTAAGTGATTCGGTTTAACTGATATCTATTTGGTTTAAATTGACATCTGTCTGATTCTAGAAGGTCAGTTGGGAAAGATTCCTCAATCAGGAAATTCACCTGCAGTAATGCAGGTATGAGGTAATGAGGAATTTACTCAGTAGCAGTGGGAATAGAAATGAAGATGAGGCTGAGAATTTTTTGAAGAAGAACTTGTTGACTCTATATAGAAAGTAAAAGACAATGAATATAAAAAGATATTGATGTTTTTACTCTTGGATAGCTAGCAAAGGTACCTGTACTTTGTGTGGTTGTTGTTGGGGATGGAATGAAACAGGAAGGATAAGAGAATGATAAAAATGATACTACTTAAATATTTAAGTAGTAAGTACAATTTGGAAACCTCAGCAATTTCGATAACTGAAAGTATAAGAATGAAGATTTCTTCTAAGCAAGGGACTCATGAAGAAGAATATCTTAAGACTGAAATATAATGCTTAATTTATTATGTAGATTTAGGAAGAAGACTGTCAACTGAGAATAACAATGTTATTCTGCATTGACAAAAGAATTCATTCTGCAATGAATAACAATGATGTTCCTACTTTTTGTGTTTTAATTTTGAGTTTTGTAGGAACTATGTTTTACTTGTTTGTTTCTGTTTAAAGTGGAATAGATGATGAACTTCAGTGCATGATCAAATTTTTCCAAATAGCACATTTATTTAGTGTCTCAAACAGAATTTGTTAATTTTTATGGCCCTAATACAGTGTATCTTTTGGTAAACATTCTAAAGATCATTTTGTGTTTATATTTGTTACTGACTTGATTCTTCTGTTTAAAAACGAATGGCTTATGAAAACAAAAACATAGGCAACAAAAGAAAAAGTAGATAAATTGGACTTCATCAAAATGTAAAACTTTTGTCCATCAGAGAAACTATCTAAAGAGTGAAAAGACAACCTACAAAATGTGGGTAGATATTTGCAAATTATATATCTGATAAGGGATTAGTATCCAGGATCTATAATGAACTTCTACAACTTGACAATGATCAAAAAACTGTTTTAAAATGAGCAAAAGACTTGAATAGATTTTTTTTCCAAAGAAGATATACAGATGGCCCATAAGTACATGAAAAGATGTTCAACATCACTAACATTGGGGAAATGCAAATCAGACCACAGTGAGATGCCACTTCATATTCATTAGGGTGGCTATTCTCAAAAATAGAAAGTAAGTATTGGGGAAGTGGTGGAGAAATTGGAACACTGCATACTCCTGTTGGGAAGACAATTTTGGCAGTTCCTCAAAAAATTAAACATAGAAAACCATATGATGTAAAATTGCTCTTCTAGGTATATACCCCCCAAAATGGAAAGGACCTCAAATAGATAATTGTACACTGGTGTTCTTAGCAACACTATTCATAATAACCACACAGTGTCCATCAGCTAATGAATAAACAAAATATGAGATGTATATGTGATATATATATATATAGTTTGTGCACACACACACAATGGCATATTAGCCTTAAAGAATAAAATTCTGATACATGTTACAACCTGGATGGACCTTGAAACGTTATGTGATTCCACTTACGTGAATAGAGCTTAACAAGGGATTGGGGGAGGGGAGGGAGAAGTGAGTTATTTTTTAATGGGTATAGAGTTTCTATTTGGGGTGATGAAAAAGTTCTGGACATGAATGTTAGTGATTATCACACAATATTTTAAATATACTCAATGTGGCAGAAATGTACACTTAAACATTAAAATAGCAAACTTCATGTTATGTATATATTTGATAACAATTTAATCACTAAGATATGTAATCACAATAAAAGTTAATACCCATTGTGCAGGATTATAAACATCATTATTTCTGTATAACAAGGTTATAATAGAACCAGTGTGTTCTGTCTTTAATGTACTGTCTTTTAGTTATCTTGTCACCATTTTGTTAAGCGTTATTTTGATAATTTACCTGTCTTATACCCTTACATTAAGAACCAAATATCAGTTGTCTATTTCATCAGATAATTACAGTTACTTGAACTTTACTTACCTAAAGTTTAAGGTTCTTTTGGATAACTTTGGTTCTTATGATAATATTTGCATGTATGATTGTTAATAAAAATCAATAGTAACAGTTTTTTATATGCTCATACTGTTGTTACAAATTAAGAAATCCAAATGTCTTAGAAAATTCTTCCTTCAATGCAGTATTTTTGCTCCCAGGATGAAGATGAGCTGGATTCCCACACCATGGTGAAGACGAGTTCAGAAAATGTGGGCACAATGCGGGCCACAAGTACAATGAGTGAAGGAGCCCAGACCATGATTGAACATAATAGCACAATGTTAGAGTCTGACTTGGGGACCATGGTTATAAACAGTGAAGATGAGGAAGAAGAAGATGGAACTATGAAAAGTATGTGGCTTTTTCCCATTGAATATTAATTTTCTAATTTGCATGTGTATACTTCTATAGAAATCAGGATGATTCTGTGTACTTTTTTTAGCCAGTAATGGAAAATTTTGTTCCTTGGCTTTAATTAGCAGTAAAAAAGAGTGTGGCACAAATAGACTTAATTTTTTTTAAAATATACCAGAAAGCAATACATCTTTAATTTAGGGTTATGGAACTTTTTTTCTGTTTAAGGATGCTAGCCCATAACTTAATTTAATTTGCAAAGTATTTTAGAGATAAAAAGATAGTGTTCCTAACATTTACTTTTCTAATTAAAAATGAACCTAAAATTCTGTTCCAGTAAATACAACATAATATTTTTTCATGTTGTCTGAATTATCAGTTAAGCCACAGCGATAGAGGGTTGCAAGCTAAGGGAAGAAATAGGTCTGAGGCGGGAAAAGAAGAAACAAGAGAAAGAAGGATCAAGAGATGGGTAACTCACTCAAAGCTTCAGTTCAGTGTGTATTTACCACTGCTTGTTATGTCATATGTGAGATGCAGTGCCAGGACTGCTGCAGGGGCTAAAATGATGGGTAGGACATTTTCTCTGATCTCCATTGCTTACAGAGTGATGAAGAGATACTTTCACAGACCAGCTTGCTTGCCTGCCTGCCTGCCTGCCTCCTTCCTTCCTTCTTTCCTTCCTTCCTCCCTAGCCCCCTCCTTTCCTCCCTCCCTCCCCTCCCTCCCTCCCTCCCTCCCTTCCTCTTTTCTCCCTCCCTCTCTCCTTCATACAGCTTTTTAAGATTGTAGTTAACAATGTGGAGCATTGTGACTCCATTGTTATAGACAATACAGATCAATTACCTCTTGGTATCTACTGATCTTTCTCCTGCCATTCTCCTTATGTGTATCTTATGTGAAAGTCTAAACACTAGGCTTTTTTCCACTATACAGTACTGCTTCTAAATAGCACAGAAGCAGTAATACATGACTTTTTGCATTGTAGAGCCTAGAAAGTTATATTCAGGTAAGTACTGATATTGTAAAATGAACATAGGTAGGAATTTCCTCTCTGACATTTGTTTTATGTTTTCTTTGTGAAATCTATGTCATGTTAGATAATTATAATTTCAATGAAAAGGTAATTTATCAGACATCATACTTTAAAATGATAGCACAGACCTTGACACATTTTGTGTAGTGACTTTAGCTTTGGTAGCCATAGACATAATTCAATATATTTTATAATTTTATGTCCTAAGTATGGTTTTGTTTTTTTGTCACAGAGACTCTTATTGAAGGCCCTTTTTTTTTTAAAGATTTATTTATTTAGGGGTCTCCCTGGTGGCGCAAAGGGTTAAGCACTGCACTATGAAGCAGTCCACAGCCTCTGCAGCACGAGTTGGATCCCTGGCCAGCCAGAGAGAAAACCACATGGCAAAGCAGACCTCTCCTGGCTCTCCCGCTGTTCCACTCAGCAGTGTATTTTGGTCAGTCTGCCTGTTCTGTTCCCTACTCTGTCTCTGGTGAATCCTCTCACCCCCTGCATCTGGCCTGTACCCCAGTTCTTATATGCATAAATAAATGAATCTTTAAAAAAAAAGCTTTATTTATTTATGCATACAAAAGTGGGGTACAGGCCAGAGGTGGGGGGGGAGTGAGAGGATTCACCAGAAAAAGAGTCGGGAATAGAACAGGCAGATTGACTGAAGTATACTGCTGAGGGGAGCAGCGGGCGAGACAGGAGAGGTCTGCTGCGCCATGTGGGTAGCTCCCTGGCCGGGGGTTGAACTTGTGCTGCAGTGGCTGTGGATAGCTTCATAGGTTGCGTCTTAACCCCTTGCACCCTGAAGGCCCATTTTTAGGTGAGCAGATAGTGGTTTATATAATTGCAATTGTTCTGTGTGCCTCAGTAAATTTTAAATCCCATCAGCCAACTCTCCTCATTTAAGTTTCTACAATTTAGATATCATTGTATAATGTGGGATTTCCATGTTCCCAAGAATCTAATCAAGTGATGTTAGTGTCACCCCCAGCAGTTGTCACACTGTAGTAGAGCAGTAGTAAATAACATGTAAATAACAATAGTAAATAACATAGTTTCCTCTAGTTTTGTTTTCCTAAGAAAAGTGATCTCAATTTTCTTTAAAATTTCTTGGAATTGTTTTAGTGAGCTCTCAGATTGTTAGTGCCTAATTTGCTAATGTGTCTTCATCATTTTTTGTTCTCTAAAAAGACTATAGCAATACATTGTTTTTAATTTTTTAAAAGTTCTAAAATGTTTTATACTACAGATTCTGAATTCTATCACCTTTCCATGGATTTTCAAATGATTTCCCTGATTTATTATTCTAATTGCCTTACATTATATTTGTATATACTATAATAACTTTATTCACGAAGGTAAGGATTACAAATCTGTTTTCTCTATCCCTAAAAGTGTGGTGCTTTCACTTTAAGAAGCAAAATTACTAAAAGATAAAAGGTAATTTTTTGGAAATTGGAGAAAAGTGACAATATTTTAAAATTTGATCTTTTATTTTTTTTTAAAGTGGGCATGAACATTGAAGTCATATCCCAAGAAGAACTCTCCAAAACTGTTTTCAGCATTAACAGCATTACTTTTATCTTCCTACTCCCACTGGGACCTCCTCCTGTAATGTCCAGGTTTCAGGGAGATAACTGAGGTCTTTTACAATCTGGCACCAACCAGCATTTACTCGTGGAGCTCTACTTTCTTATATATTATACTTTATCCAAACAGGTCTATGTCAGTTGGAATTATAAATGGTTGACTGTGGATATAAGCAGATTGGTTGTCACTAAGGAAATCAACATTTAGTACTTTTCATCTTGAATGAGTACATTAGAATCAGGTCAAGGATCTATTGTCATCAAATTCTTGTGATTATAGAGATTATTTTTTTGTGGGTGATTTTGGCAAAATAACTGCTTCAGGAAAGAGAAGACAGTACCTTTTACTTTGGTTAGCTCAGATTTACTTAATTCTGTCTCTGTAAAGGAGCTTTCATGTCCAATAGGTTGAGGCTGGATTGGTAGTTCTAGTTGCCTTGAAGGAAAACTGTCTTTTGGTGTCTGAGGAAGAGCCACACCCTTCAATCAAGATAGATCGTTTTCTTCCTGACTCATATTCTTAACTCCTTTACCCTCCTGTCATCTTTTCTGCTCCTCTGGGCAAAATATGACACTGTGGATCAATCTATTTGTTCATCTTCTCAGCGTCTTCCCCTGCTGGAGAAAATCTCACATATGAACATCCCGTTTATGGCCTTCAACCCCATTTGGACCCTCAGTTTTCTGTAGGCCTTTGTTTCTCTTCTCAGCAGTTTGGATAAAGGATGAGAATGATTTTTTTAGATTGTCATCAGATCTTTTGTCATCTTCCCTCTCAGTTTTAATAAATGATCTTGTCTTCTGCTTTGTAGAAAAAAAATTAAATATTATCCAACAATGTAGAGAAATTATATAATTGTTTTAAACATGGAGTTTGGACTATGGACTAGGATAGAAAAATTAGAGTCATGTTTAAGTCCCTCTCTCCCCTCACTTGCTCATTGAATTAACGTCGTCTCATCAGTGCTTCCTTTTTTTAAAAAATACATTTTAAAAGGACACTTTCACTAGGAAAAGGAGAAAGAAAAAGAGAGACACCTGCACAGACACAGGCAGGCAGGAGAGCTGCCCAGTTCTTCCTCTTTAATGTTTTTGCCCTCTTCACCATCCCTGCTTCCCAGGCAGCGCGAGAGGCCTGATCTACCTGGAACTGGAGATGTAGAGTAATTGAGCAGTTCCCAATTTTCCTTGCCTACTTCAAGACCTTGCAACATCTCTCTTTAGTTAGTGAGACAGACAGAGAGGACTTTATAGAGAATAATGATCTTCAGAATGAACATTGTATTGCAAACATAAAGAGCAGTTTGAGTGGTAAGCTGAGGAAATGGTAAGGAAGCCATCTGCTGACCTGCTGTCTTCTAACTAGAATTATGATCATTAATGTTTATTGAGATAACCTGCAGGTGAGAGAACTATATTCTACTGTTTGTGAAATGTGAAGTTTCTGAGAAAATGGGGTATCATGGAAACATGAAAAAGCAATTTAAAAATTTTTGTTTCAGTAAGGAGAAAAAAAGTTGAATGTTTCAGGTTATAGCCATCATTAATTTAGGGCCCTACAGAGGGCCCAAACATTGTACTGAGGACTTTGTATACGTTATCTCATTTGCTCCTTACAAGGGCCCTGTAAAGTAGCATTGTCACTACCATATACCACTCAGGAAACTGAGACTTGGGAATGTTAAGTAACCTAAGATTTTGTAGCAGGTAAGTGGTGGGAGCATTACCCCCAGGTAATAGCACTACTCTGGGACTAATGAGCACAACATCCCTCTTGAACAGAATTCTAGAACATCTATGAGTCCTATAGGAGAGGAGACCAGGATCATTATAAGACAGCATGGATTACGTGGAAGATACCATATCAGAATAATATAACATCCTCTTTTGACAGCATTGAGAAATGACTAGATCGTAGAAGATGCAGGGTTGGATATTGTGTGTTAGTAATTTGGAAATTATTTTCAGAATCTTTTATGATATCCTTGCAGATACTATGTACTATGACTCAACTGATGGTTTTGTTATAAGAATTGAATGGTTATATGCAAATGGGCTTACAGAGGGATCACTCATGATTTATTGGTGGGAACAGAAACTACTTTAGTAGGTATTTTTAAACCCGAAGAGATTTAAGTGAAAGATGTGAATGTTAACAAAATCAATAAAAAGGTCAGAGAAGAGGGCTGTGCAGACTAGGCCTCAGAGAATGATTTCTATATCACTAGGAAAGTGACCCTATGTGGAACTGCTATAGCTACAATCAGAAAGGCAGTGAATCCAGAGGCAGGCTGCCATTGACACTGTTGAATTTAGTAATACCCATGAAGATTAATCCCTGTATGATTCAGGGTGAAAAGCTACCGCTGATACTGCAACCA